ATCCCTGAAAATGTGTCTCTTTTATCAACCATATCATTTGTCTCCTGACTGGCTCACCAATTGTCTGGGAATGAACCAATAACTTGAAATTTGCCTGAAGGGTTTGAGAGACTGAAGGAGGTTGGCCACTCCATAATGGTAATATAAGAGTTTTCTTTAAAGGGTTATGCACTGAGGTGAAACCTTGGGCAGTGGCAGGGCCAGGTTTGAGTCTCTGAAACCCCCAGAGGGAGGCAGATACTTTCATAGTTTTGTCAAACAAAGGTGACATGGTGCCAGGGCCCTGGACCTCCAAGGTCATCCCCGAAAGTGTTACATAAAGGTGACCTAGCAAGTTGGAAGTAAGCATGCAGCAAGCAAGAGAGAATACATACTCAGCCTTGCAAAAGCCTGCTCACCTACACACCTGTTCACAATCACAGTTCAACCATCACAGTCTTCCCCACCCATCACAGACTTGCAGTTGAGAGGGTATCATCAGGAAAAGGAATCTATCCAGTGAGGATCCTCACTTGTCCCCTTGTGCTGAAGATGAATCCACACATGTAAAAATATGTAAGCCAACCCTCAGACTTTAGTTATATACAACTCCTCTGTTTTAGACAGCCAGTGTTTGAATTGCTTATTCCTATCAAAACTGAGTCCTGGTGTGGTGCTGTGGGATAATGCACTAGACTCAAGGTTTGTGATTCAAATTCACCAGCTGCTCCTTGGAAACCCTATACAGGGTCGCTGTGAGTCCAAACCAACTCAAAGGCACTTAACAACAACAACAATCAAACCAATATTCTGAGAAGAAAAGCATGTTCCTTGGTCTGAAGAATCTTCTGTTCTAGTTAGAATGTTGAGCATCAGCATCCATCACAAAATGTAGTCTTCCAGGCCTACCAGTGTGGCATTTTGTGCTTCACAGTGTACAAGAGGAACATGCCCAGACTCAGCTCATCTTTACGTCACCCTTACTTCCACTCAGCTCATAAACTCAGGTGGTCACCTAAAGTGATCATTCCAGAATATCTACTCAACCGGTTTCCATTAACGTCTAGTCCTGGAAGGGGGTTCTTCTGATAGACATTATCTAGTCCTGCTTTAGTGCACTCCTCAAGTTTCCATAGGATTGTGCCCCACATAGGCACCCCTTCAGTAAGTCAACAATTTGTTTACCTTCTTCAATCAGCTTCTCAATCAAAGTCCAATAGCAATTGCTTCTCAATTGCAAAACTCCTGTTTGTTCACAGGTTTTCAGCATAAACCCTGAGTGTAGCACTGTAGGATAAGCCCTGGACCACAGATCAATTGAATCACAAGTCTGATAGTTCAAACTCACTAGCCACTCCTTGAAAACACTATACGGGAAACCAACTTGATGGCACTTAACAACAATAGCAACAATCCTGATTATAGTATTATAGGATAAGCACTGGACTGCTGACTGTAAAGTTGGTGGTTCAAATCCACCAACTCCTTGGAAACCCTGTGCAGGGTCACTATGAGTCGGAACCAACTTGAAGCACAACAACAACCAACCAATATGGGGCATGAGCAATCCTTACTAATTCTCATGTAGCATATCCAATCAAGTAAAGCCTGAAGAGCAAGTTGTTGTTATGTGCCGTGGAGTCAGTTCCGACTCATAGCGACCCTGTACAGGGTTTCTGAGGCTGTAAATCTTTACGGGAGCAGAATGCCTCATCGTTCTCCTGTGGAGCAGCTGGTAGTTTCAAACTACTGACCTTAAGGTTCACAGCCCAATTCGTAACCACTATGCTACCAGAGCTCCTTGAAGAGCAAGTTACACTCTGTTTTTTACAATACCCAATATTCATTCTCATACATTCAGGTCTGTTTTAGAACACCTAGTAGGAGAAGCCTTTCCTCAGTCAAATACAATGTAATACATTCTGATGATCATGACCTCTTCATAGAAATCTTTAAAAAAAAAAAAGATTTTCATATTTATCTTCATTCTTTTACATAAAGCCTGTTTAAACATTACATTTTCTAATTTTATTTCAACACCCATTTTATCCATTCATATGCATATGGCCTCAGGTTCTTGGCTAGCTTGGACCTGAAAAAATCTGACTAAGAGTAGATTTTAATAAGGATTCTATTGGATGTGGGATGGGCACATCTAAATAATTTTCCATACCAATGTCAGCAGTGGCTTCAAAGACACTCAGACAAGGTAGATAGGTTCTGGTTACAGGATCTAATGGGAGATTCTAATATCCAATAGGTCTCTACTGATTTTTATATGATTGAGTTAGAACTCCTAAACTATTTTCATTTCTTTAATGAACAAATAATTTTTTTTTTAAATTTGACATAGCTGGATAGGTTTAAAGCTAGGGGATTATTAGAGTCTTTTCCAGCTCGTGTTCTATTTGCTCAGGAGTCCATTGCTGAGACTCTGGGTTCTCTGTATTAAGCAAAATATAGAGTGATTGAGCAATCAAAGAAAAGTATGGAATCCAGTTACAACACTAGCCTCAAAGATTCCCCATATCTCTAAGTAGTTTTATTTTACTTTATTATTATTATTTGGCAAGTGATAGCTACTAATGGTTTCAAGTCCAGTATATTCCCTGTGAAATTAGAATATGGCCTACATATGCAATTTGGGTTTTAACAAATTAAAGTTTATCTTTAGAGGCTTTGTGCTGTTTAGCAGCCAGGTAATTAAACACCTAAATAGATTTTTCTTCACAGTATAAAAGATTCTTGGAAAAAAGTAGCAAATCACCAACATACTGAATGAGGAGAAAATTATTTGGGAACACTTGATACTGTAAATCAGCTCGTAAGACTTGAGGAAATTAAATAAAGGTTGAGGCATGATGATCCCAGTATACTGGTGTTCATCCTAAGTGAACGCAAACCAATATTGATGATGAGGGTAGACTGGGATACTAAAGAAAGCACTACATAATTCCACTAAAGTAAAGGTCTTAGCCTCATGAGGTGTTTGAGATAGGAAAAGATGGCAATCTAACTACCCGAAATCAGGGACTCACCAGGCGGTTGATGATCCTAAGGTCTTGAGCAAATTTCTAACTCTATTCATTAGGTTTATTAACTTGTAATAATTGGGGTATTACATGGGCTAGTATGGAGCCCTGGTGTGGCGCTGTGGGTTAATGTGCTGGACTGCAAAGTTGGTTTGTACTATAAGATTGGCAGTTCAAGCTCACTAGCTGCTCCTTGGAAACCCTATACAGGGTCGCTATGGATCAGAACTGACTCGACTGCAGTTACAACAACAACAACAATGGGCTAGTATAGGGTCAGTGAGAAAGAGGAAGAATCTCAACAAGATGGATTGGCACAGTGGCAGCAACAATGAGCTCAGATGTAACAACAACTGTGAGGATGACACAGGACCAGGCAGTGTTCTGTTATACATAGGATTGCTATGAGTCAGAACCAAATTGACAGCACCTAGGAGCTCTGGTGGCATAGTGGTTACGAATCGGGCTGCGAACCTTAAGGTCAGCAGTTCGAAACTACCAGCCACCGCTCCATGGGGAAAAAGACAAGGCTTTCTGCTCCCGTAAAGATTTACAGCCTCGGAAACCCTGTACAGGGTCGCTATGGGTTGGAACCGACTCGATGGCACTTAAAACAGCAGCAACAACAACAAATGGGTTAGTATTATTAGCACTTTATTAATTAATTCCTAAACTATAGGAATTAACCCTTGAATTGCCTCCCAACTTAGAGAGTATTGAGAAATTCTGGGAAGTTGTTTCATTTGGTCAATTTAAACTTTTGGTTGTTGTGCACTCTGTATTCTTCCCATATCTGTGGAGGCGATGTGAACAAGGTTGAGGACACAGAGAATACTGTTTTTCTATAATAGAGTTATCCTTATCCAAGTGGCTTAAGAGTTCTATTTTGTACCTCTCTTGATCTAACTAGCATATGATTAACTGGTATAGATCAGCCAGATCAGGTTGGTAAACCTGAATTAAAATGCAGAATTCCTCTTTAAATTTGTGAGAGTACTTTTTGGTTTGTGGGAACTCCTTAGCTATTGCTCTTAATTCAGTTTTAGATCAGGGAAAGAAGGGGATTTGTTCTCTTGCCCTTCAATTGGCCTTAATGAGCTTCTGAAACACAAGAGGAAGTTTAGGGAAAAGAGATAGATTGTCACTTGCACATGGCATTTCAGACAGAATAGCATCCTTTCCAGGATACGTAGCAGGAGATTCACTAGTGAAATATTCAGGCTTAGACTCCGTGGAACCCATGACTGTGTGAAAAAAATAGACAAAATCTGCAGACAGAAATCAAATTCTGAATAAAACATAACTCAGTTACAACATAAGAAGACAGAGCTTGAGACTGGAGAAAACTCACCAAATAGCCTGGATACACAGACCCTAAAAGAGTTCAGCAAGATCCTTCACCTATGTTTGATGAGGGCTTCAAGGCTGTAGGCTGGTCTCTTCAGTCCCACTTCTGACACCAAATCGTTGTTAAAAATAAAGCAGAGCTTCTGTAAAATAAAAGTTTTATTCAGATTCAAAGATTCGCAAAACAGGAAGCATTAAAATGAAAATTCAAAATGGCTTTCCAAAGAGGGAACATAAGGTCATGTCAATTTTTCAAAACTCTGAACAGAGTTAGGAATAAGTATGGAGATACATTTGATTGGCTGATATTCAACATGCTTTGTAAGACTCATTAATCAAGAATTTCTATTTGCCAGGATACTCAACTGTAGCCTCAGTTTCTTGTACTTCAGAGCTGACTCTTGTAACAATCTATATGGGCCACCATAGAATGTTGCAGAAAAATTTGTTTTTGTCACAAGTGAACATGGGTCATATACTGTGAAAAGCAGAAGCATAGAACAAAATAGAGTACAATTCACCCTATGTCAATCATTTTAATGATTTCAAATGCCTCAGACTTAGAATACTCTTTCCCAAGGATCAGGGGTACATATCCTGGGTATGAACTGACCCCTTGCACTGCCTTGGGCTCTCTCACAGAAGCAGGAGGTGTGCGGGAACCTGACACTGCAGCACCACATGCTGGAGCCAGTACAAAGGGTTCCCCGCTACGAGTTGTTGCTCAAAGACTACCTGAAGAGGCTCCCAGAAGATGCTCCTGACCGGAGAGATGCAGAGAGTAAGCTGGGACTGGGCCACCAGGCAGGGGATCTCTGGGAGAACACTGGGCCTCAGTGATGTATAAACAGCTTTTCTAGAAAACCTAAGTCTAGTTCAGCAAGCCATGGAAACTCACACACACACAGACAGATCCAAGTGCCTTTAAACATGACTCAAGAAGAGATTTAGACTTGAAGTGTGAGAGGTAGACATTGGTTCTGGGGAAGGAACTGTGAGAGCTGTCCACCCCTTGCTCCCAGAGCATAAGATGCAAGAATTGGAATTGTGGGGGTTGCTCCTGGTCCAAAGGCAATTAAGGCCTCGGCAGAAGAACTGCTAGCTTCTAGCTGCTGGCCCCACCCTCCATGAGCCAAATGGCGCTACATTTTCTCTCCTGGTCAAGTTCTTGAGCAGCCTAAGTCCTCATGGGGAAAAGTCTGAGAGCCAGGAGGGGTCTCTGTACAGGAAGGACCAGATGCTGGAACTCTAGAAAAGAGATCTCTACAGGCCCTCCTGGGTAAGGATGCAGTCCTGGAGGCTAACTCTACTGTCTTCTTCTCTGTAGAGTCCTTGGAGCTCATCTCCACTGCAGCAAACCACTCCAATGCAGCCATTCGGAAGATGGTGAGTTCAGAAGCAGGCTTCTGACAGCAGGGCCAGGCACACAGCATAGCTTGAGGGTGGCATATGGGCATTCCATCATCAGTCTTCTAGATCAGCATAGAGACTTAGTCTCAGACCAGCAGACCTGCTACCTGCTAGCTGTGTGGTCTCTGGTAAGTTATGTATTGCTCTGTGCCTCACCTTCTCCCCATGTGTAAAATAGAAACACAACAGAACTGATCTCATTGTGAGGGTTCAATTACTTTCATTGTGGGGATTACATGAGTTGCCTAAAGAAAGGGCTTGGGAGTCCTGGTGTGGCACTGTAGGATAAGCACTGGACTGCTAACTGCAAGGTCAGTGGCTCAAAACCACAAGCCACTTCTTGGAATCCCTATATAGGGTCGCTATGATTGGAAACTGACTCCACAGCACTTAACAACAACAAACATAAAGTGCTTAGAACACAACCTGGTACAATAAGTATTACTATCAATGCTATCTTATCTTACTGTTATCATCATTTACTCACTCAGCTATTCATTCATTCATTCATTCATTCAGTAAAGCTTCACTAGGATCTCATGGGCCAAGATCAGAACTAAGGACAGAGAGAGGCATAAAGGGTGATACGATAGTGTCACATTCTTGGTATGTACATAGCCATATCTGAGGACCTGCAGAGCCCTGAGTAGGTCTGTCCTGGGAGCTCTTGAGCCTCACCTCAATGCCAGTGACATCAACATCACAGGGAACCAGTGGTCCTATCCTCAGAAGTCTGCGACCTGGTAGTCACTGCTTTACTATTATTCATGCACTGTTGTTTTTCACAGAGAAAACAGGGAAGGAAAGCAAGATGTTACTTTGACCTCAGGTCTCTCTCTAAAGAAAGACAATAAGAAACGCTCTCTGTCTAAGTAAGATCTCCCCATGTAAGGACCCCATGTGTGAATCAGGGCCTGACCCCTAGCAATGATGCTAGCTATTATTATTTTATTATTGTTTTTCTCCTCATGGTGAAATTTTGTTCGTTCTCTAGTTGGCCCTATCATGGTTTTGGGTCCTGGTTACAGAGCAGCATTCTATTCACCTCTGTCTCCATCAGGATCTTGTTCCTCATGAACACAGAACTGCCTGATTCTTCTGTCTCTTGCAGGAGAAAATGCATAAGCTCTTAGAGGTGTATGAGCAACTGGGTGGAGAAGAAGACATTGTCAACCCAGCCAATGAGTTCATCAAAGAAGGCCACATCCAGAAGCTGTCAGCCAAGAATGGAACCACCCAGGAACGTTATCTCTTCCTGGTGAGTCCCCAGTTGTGGTCCCTTGGTGTAGAGCCCCTGGCTGTAGAGGCTCATACTCCATATCTCTCAACACAGAGTTCACCGCCACAGGGCTCTTCCACTTCCTCTCTTGCTGCAACCACTGGTATTCATCTCAGGCACTGTCCCAAAGCCCTTCCTAAGTCTCACAGGGCCACATTTCTTCACACAACTGGACATGCACCTGCCATGCTGACCTGTACCTTCCTCCTACAGTTCAACAGCATGATCCTTTACTGTGTACCCAAGCTGAGGCTCATGGGCCAGAAGTTCAGTGTCCGGGAGAAGATGGACATTTCGGGTCTCCAGGTGGGTGAGCCCCTTCTCCCTACACAACACCTGGGTGTCCTGCCATTGCAGCACTCTCCAGTCATGTGACCTGGCACCTTGCACGGACTCTGCTGAGCCTCAGACTTTACCTTTAAATGCCGTGTGGCCTGGACCAACTTCCATTCTGTCTTAGCACTGGCGTTCAGGGACTTGCTGAGGTTCTCTTTGCTTCTCTAGTTGACCCCAAACTATTAACCTGCCAGTGCACTGTGGCCTGGTATTCAACGGATGTTGTTGTTGTTGTTGTTAAGTGCCATCAAGTCAGTTCTGACCCATAGCTACCCTGTATAGGGTTTCCAAGGAGCAGTTGGTGAACTTGAACCTCCCTTGCAGTTCTAACCATCTTTGCAGTTCAGCACATTAACTCACAGCCCCACACCATGACTCAACATGCAAATACAGGAGGTTGTTAGAGACAAGAGTCAGCATAGCCTAGGGCACATCTCCTGAGTGTCTATATGTGTGCAGCTGGCCACTGAGTTAGTACTCCTGGCCTATTGATCTGAAGGTGAAGCTTGGGGGCTGAAGGGACTTGTTAAGGTCTCTAGCTAGTAGTGGCTCGTGTGTGCCTGACCTTCTGGGTCCTCTCCTGTGTATCATAAGCTTTGTTGCTCTGTCTCATGAACTTGCTGGCAGGGTTTCATGGGTTGGGTCACAGGGTACACATTTGGTCCCCATCTCCTGTTGGTAATAACTTTGGATTCATGGGCACCTCAAAAATGTCTGCTAAACTATCTCAAAAAGTAGAGGTTTGCATCAGAGACACAAAGAAATCTCTTCTCACATGAAAATTTTCTGAATCTAGGTTAAGAAAGACCATTAAAAAATAATGACTAGCTAGAGAAAAAAAACCAAACACCTTTTTCAGAGGTAGAAGAAACTATTTCTCTAGTGTCTCTCGACATTAATTTTATGTGTTAATGCAGAAGTTCTCAACCTTGCAGTTATTGGAGAAGCCCTCAGGTGGTGACCCCACCCGAGGTGCCACATGAGTGAGGAGTCAGTAATATACTTTCCCTACCAGTGGTGCTGATGGGCAGCCAGGCTGAGAGCCCTAGGAACCATACCTCTGCTGCTTTGCTTTATGGTTGCTTCATGAGACATTGCTCTCTAGTGAATCTCACCTTTTACTGACACCAATATATGCCAAACTAGCCCAAGGAGGACAAGATTATTCACCTCTGATATCAAAAATTTGGTGGATAATAAATCTCTCTTCACACTTGAACTGCATCGCTTAGGCAAGTCAGCCTTCCTTCGCTTTAGTACAGACCCCAGTTGATCCATACAACTCTCTCTGTCATTCTCCTTCACCAGGGCTAGGTCAGCAGGCACCAGCTCCTCCTCTGTTTCTAGGTACTATAACCCTATTGAGGACTCTTGGTGTGGTGCTGTGGGATAATCACTGGACTGCTAAATGCAAGATCGGAGATTCAAACCCTCTAGCCACTCCTTGAGAGAAAGATGAGGCTTTCTACTCCCATAAAGATCAACAGCTTCAAAAACCCTATACAGGGTCATTATGAGTCGGAACTGACTCAGTAACACTTAACAACATAATCTGTTGAAAGGACTCACAAACTGCAGGAAAGGGTAATCTTTAATCTAGCATTAAAAAGATACAAACAAATAGGGTGAAGTCTGGGAGGGGGTCTCAGCACAGAACTTCCATGCCCCCAGGAGACATTCCCAGGAATACACAGGAAGCTCCACTTACCCTTCCCCCAATCCTGCAAGTCTTCCAAAGAGACTTAATTAGCATCAGGTTCCCAGGTGGTCCTTCTTGGTCTATTTAGTCTACCTCAGATGTGGTCAGGTGCTCAGGAACCCAGACCAGAGCCCAAATTGTTTACTGTAAAAGGGTTCTATACTTTACACTAGTCTTGTGAAGTGAGGATGTGGTTAATAAGGAAATGACTGTATTTCATCAGCTCTGATATTTGAAGTCAGGACATGCTGGAGTGATCATCTATTGCTGGGTAGTGCCCTTTTTTCCCCAGTGGATCATAGGGTGATAGGTGCACTGCAGGTAGTGTGTTGAGTATGTGAGCATCTATCCAACCCCACCTTCATCTCTACCCCACCCCTAACAAATAGAGAGGCATGGGGTAAAGGTCATAGCATAGCACTGTACTAGTGAACTCAGCAATGTCTGCAAAATGGTGGGGATTCCCTTCTTCCTGTAAAACAGTCTTCAACATAGAGTTGCACAATTGCAATTGTGCAACCAATAAGTTGTATGCCTGTAAAAAGGAAATCGGTAAAAAAAACTTGTGTGATAGATATATTTACAATAGCAACAAAAAGAGTATCTGTTGAGATGCTTATGCACAGCCAAACATCTGATGGGGTTTGATTTCTTGGTTTGGAGGTTTAAGGTCATTGTTCATGGGACAACCTAGTTCATTGTGTCATGTCTGGGGGTCTGAAAAGCTTGCAAACAATTATTCGAGGAATAATTGGCCTCTATTAAGGAGCTCTGGTAGCGTAGTGGTTACGAATAGGGCCACAAACCGCAAGGTCAGCAGTTCGAAACTACCAGCTGTTCCATGGGAGAAAGATGAGGCTTTCTGCTCCCGTAAAGATTTACAGCCTTGGAAACCCTATACAGGGTCACTATGAGCCGGAACCAACTCCGCGGCACATAACAACAACAACATTTGGCCAATTATTGGTAAAAGTGGAAGAAGAAAGAGAATCAGGAATAGGAGAAAGATATGAAATATGTGGCTAATTGCCATGATGAACAGTTGTCTCCTTTGTCATGAGACCAAACAAACTGGATAGCACTGAACAGTTTGATTCTATAAAAGAATTCGGACCAAAAGGGAAAAATGTAGAACAGAATTTCAAATTCTCATGGATTCCAGAGTTTCTGAGGCCATGGAGAATAGAGGAACCCCTGAACTATTGCCCTGAAATAATCTTTAATCCTTAAACCAAACTACCCATTGAATTCGTCTTAAAACCAAACAATAGTTTAACTGAAGTAAGCCTTGAGCATTGTGCTCTTTTTATAAGTATTAGTCCTGGTGTGGTGCTGTGGGTTAATGCGCCAGATTGCAAAGCCGTTTGCACTGCAAGGTTGGCAGTTCAAGCTCACCAGCTGCTCCTCAGAAACCCTCTACAGGGTTGCTATGGGTCGGAATCAACTCAACGGCACTTAACAACAATATGGGATCAAAGCCTCCTGGTGTGGCGCTGTGGGCTAATGCATCAGACTGCAAAGTAATTTGGACTGTAAGGTCGGTGGTTCAAGCTCACCAGCTGCTCCTTGGAAACCCTCTACAGGGTTGCTATGGGTCGGAATTGACTTGATGGCACTTCACAACAACAATATAGGATCAAATTGACAACAGCAGCTCTAAAGATTAGAGGGCTGAGCTTATGTTAATGGGGAAGGAACAATTAAAAGAACGATGATGAGAATAGTTACACACGTTGGAGAATGTAATCAGTGTCACAATGTCCATGTAGAAACTTTTATTGTAGACTTTTGCTGTGCCAATTCTCAACAACAACACCAACCAAAGAAGTAATACATGTTTCTGCAGGGAATTTAGAAAATAGAAGTGTGAAGAAAATAAAGATGATTCTAATTTTAATAAAACAAAAATTTGAAAACAGTCTCAAAGGGCAGAAGGGGTGAGTACTATGGAGAGACAGTGCCTGTCTGATGCCATGGTGGGGATATGTTTGGTTTGTCTAGGTGCCAGTTGAGGACATTTCCCTGAGGAAACAGCATCATCACAGGTGGGCCTTGAAGATCAGGTCTTGATGGGAAGAGTTTCAAATACAAAGGATGAGAAAACCTGGTCTTGAGTGTGTTGGGGATGGATGGTCTCCTTCCTTTCCCATTACAGCAGCTTATGTTGGAGGAAAAGGAGAATGAGAATGCTTGCACAGCTCAAAGCATGTCATCCATGTTGCTGAAATGTGACAGTATGGTCTGAGTCAAGGCATTCGGTTTCGGCAGACCTCTGGGCCCATTGGGGCACAGGCTCCTCTCTACCTTCTCAGAGAAGAGTTCTAGGTTAGAGAGAAGTGATGCTGGATTGAAGACAATGGATAACATGACTGCTTGTGTGGTTTTTTTTTAATTGTCTCTTTAGGTACAGGATATTCTCAAGCCAAATGCAGCACATACATTTCTAATAACCGGAAAGAAAAGGTCCTTGGAGCTACAAACTCGGTAGGGCACAGTCTGTTTCTAAATGTCTGATGTTTTGACATCTTTCTTCATTTTCTAAACATAATAACTGCAATGTGTTCTTATTTACTCATTCATTTTGTTAATTAATTTACTCATACAGTCATGATTTAAAAATTAACAGTACTAAGGAGTCCTGGTGTGGCACTGTGGGTTTAATGCACTAGATTGCAATGTTGGTTTGAACCGCAGGGTTGGCAATTCAAACTCACCAGCCACTCCTTAGAAACTGTATACAGGATTGCTATGAGTCAGAAGTCAGTTGGCGTCACTTAACAACAATAACAAGAAGGAGAATGCAGCAAAGCCTCTGTCCACCTACTGTATTTCCTTTTCCCCAACTGACTAGCTATTAAGTATTCTTCCAGAATTTCTTATGTGCATACATACATATCTATTTCTTTATCACAAATTGCAGTTTACTATACAGCCTGTACAGCATTTTGCTTTTTTTTTTTCAATTAAGCTTATCAGAAATCATTACATACCTAAGCATCTTTTCGTAAAGCCACACAATTCCCCATTACAAACATTTACCCATCTACTGGTGTCTGGCTTCCTTAGCCTTGTTACTGCCAACAGTGCCAAAGCCGATGTCATGCTTGCACATAGGTCTCTGTGCATATGTGTCAATAAGACAAAGTTGTTATGTAGAGTTGCTGGTCAATGTGTAGGATGTGAGTTTTAAATTGTGATGGTTATGGTCAAGCTGTCTCTGAAAGAGATACTTGGTTGTATTCTGACTGGCAGTGTATGGGCAAACTCTTCTCTCTCCCTACCACCACCACCAAGAAGGTACTGGGCACTACAGGGGGGCATTGATTTACATTCGATGTCAGGTAAAAGCTACACAACATGGCAGCAAGCGACAAAACGGCCCTTATTGTATTGAGCTCAATGTATGCTCAAGTACAGACTGATAATCAGTTTGCTTGTTTATAATTAACGTCCGAGTTAAGAAAATACTATTTTTGTTTCTATAGAACAGAGGAAGAGAAGAACGAATGGATTCAGGTAAATCTTCTAAAGTTTAGAGTAATCCAGTGGGCAGGTGATTGAGCCCCTTGTTCTTGTCATGTTGGAGCAGAGATGGGGTCCAAGTGACCTTAGTCCTATTAGCCCCATCTGCCTAGCTTTGCAGTGGTGCTGTACCAGGATCTTCTTCAGAAGTCCCTTCAGACTCAGAAGCCTTCCATTAGCTTGTTTGAGGTAACCACCGATTCTCTCAAGCAAGAATAGAAGGAGCTAGAGGCCAGCAGGCTGAGTATTTCTCTTTAAGGGGCAGATGTAAGTTGTCTTGGTCAGGAACCTTCCTAGAAAAACCTTCCCAATGCCTTTCGAGGGTTCAACAGTCCATTCAAAGAGGGCATAGCAGCTATGTCCCCCACCCAGTTCTAGCAACTTGACTCGCAGGAACATACTTTTGGGGTGTATGGAGATGTATTGACAGGGAGATAGAGAACACCCAGAGAGAACCAAGAAAACCCTGTTTTTTTAGGATGACTCAGTACCAGCATAAGGGGTGCAGAGGACCCTTAAGAAACTACATCCTGGTCTGCTAGGGTGGCTTGAGCCCTGTGATGGCTAGAGGTTGGGGAGTGGTGTAGCAGGGAAGGAGGCAGAGTGCAAGACTCCTGCTTTCTTCTTCCCCTATACACATCACCTCATGCCTGCTCAGGGTTGGGTGCTGGGTCAGAGATGAGTTCACCTAGCCCTGGGTTGCAGTCATAATCAGACCCATGTTGATTAAGTCCTATGGCCTTAGTGGACACATGCTAATTGTTAAAGTAGCCCTAGCTTTCAGAATTCATAGAATGGAAATATCCAGGTGAGAAGAAAGTCAAAGAAAATTCAGAGATTAGGAACATCTCAGGAACATGGATGTGGTTTTCTGTGAGCTGGGAAGTTGCCAGCACAGACTGTCCCCAGAAACAGTCTACTTTCAGCCCTGGGACCCTGGCAGAAATAGGGACACAGCATATTGGTGTGACAGCAGGGTGAGGGACTTGGCCTACTGGCCTCAGCTTGGCCCCTAGCTCCTTGTTGGCTAGCCAAGGCCAAAGGCCTTGATTCATATTCCTGAGATCTAATGTCCCATCTGAGAATAGGACTGAAATGTGACATCTCAGGTCAGGGGTGAGATAAAATAACCCTATGGGTGTGTAGTTCTCAGGGATAGGACATACACATCCCTGCCCCCTCCCTAGACATGCCACCTGACGCTGTCACCTTCTTCCAGGTCATCAGAACCACCATTGAGAAGCACAAGCAGAACAGTGAGACTTTCAAGACCTTCTGTGGCCCCGTCGGCTGGAATGAGGACTCTATCTTCTCTCCAGACCCATCTGTTAGTACCAGTGCATGGGGTCTGTCCTCTGTGGCCTCACCCACACCACGGAGCAGGGGACTTCCATCACAGAGGGCAAAGGCTCATAGCAGAGGGAGTTGTGGGCAGGCAGGCAGAGGGAGGTATCCTTTGAGGCCTTTGCAGGACTGGGTTCCAGACAGAGAGTCAAAAGCCAGGATGGTGAACAGGTGCACGTGAATATCTGCCCAGCCTTTGCAGGGTGTGCTGTGGCCCACATAGGTGGGGTGGGAGAGAGAATAGGAGCGTGCATGGAACACTACTGCATATAGGCATTTGATGAGGCAGCTCTGTGCATTGCAGGGCCATTGAGTTCCAGAGATGCTAAGGTCACAGAAAAATGGCATAATGACCACTGCATTCTTTCTGCATTTTACTGGGAAACGGAGTAACTTAACACACCTCTATGATTTTTTTTTTTTTTTTTTTTGCCCCAAATGCTACTACTGGAAAAAGATCATTGGACACTTGTTGACTTCCACTGTCTCTGAGGGCTGTGGGAGACTCACTATAGACTCAGGTCAGCTGGTGGGCAAAGATACTGCAGCCCACAGCTCCAGTTATTTATACTTTTTACCAGACCAGATACCTTTTTAATATTGAACTCATGTGTTTTGGAAGAACCTTTGTATTGTTACCATGAATGAAAACTACTATCAGATTCTGGGACAGTCTAGTTTCCTGAACCCATCATATGTACATTAAGAAATATAGTGGGAGATCTGTGCTTGATTCAGCAGGACTCTGATCTCTACACAGAGGATAGCAACAAGGACTGCTGCTGTTGTTGTTAGGTGCCAGTTCCAATTCACAATGACCCAGTGTACAATAGAATGAAATACTGCCCAATCCTCTGCCATCCTCACAATCATTATTAAGCTTGAGCCCATTGCTGCTGCCACTATGCCAGTCTACCTTTTTTTTGGGATCTTCCTCTTGTTCGCTGACCCTCCACTTTACCAAGCATGATATCCTTCTTCAGGGACTGGTCCCTCCTGAGATTATGTCTGAAGTATGAGAGACAGTCTTGTCATCCTGGCTTCTAAGGAACATTCTGGCTGTACTTCTTTCAACATAGATTTGTTTGTTCTTCTAACAGTATGTAGTACTTTTTTTTTTTGTAATGTTTTACTGAAAATTATATGATAGTTTACAGGGGAGAACTTTAGTTTTACATTCATTCCATCGTATATCATCTCACTGCCATGGTTCCAATCCCCTCCATGCATCATCAACCACCCAAAGGGTATATCCCAGAAACCCACCCCCTACACTTCCCCCTTCTCCCCCCACTTTTCGGCTCACAGACCCTTTCCCTCTCTGGGTCCAAGGTCCCCAGTGGCTTCATCACTCCACGTCATCATCTCTGTCTCTAGCTCAGGCATCTCTGTTTCTCTGGGTAGGGTCCCGCTCTCGGCTCTTCTCCATTGTTGGTCCCAGAGGCCTCCGCTCCTATCCTGGAGAATTAAGCACTCCCTTCCTTGTTACAAAACTTCTACTTTTGCATTTCCAACCCTTATAATCCGTCCTGATAAGCATTATTCCCTACAGTATCACGAGTTACCCATCTGTATCTCCTACTGGAGATTCTGTCTTCTGCCCAGACAGATTGAATAGTACCTACTGGAGATTCTGTCTTCTGCCATGCTCCCTAGCACCAGGTTCCCTCTTGAAAGCTTGTAAGCCAGTCACTTCTTGCCTTTGTAG